ATTGGCTAGAATTTTGTTGAGGATTTTTGCATCAATGTTCATGAGGGATATTGGTCTGTAATTTTTTCTTTTGTGGAGTCTTTACCTGGTTTTGGTATCAGGGTTTTGCTGGCTTCATAGAATGAGTTTGGGAGTATTCTCTCCTTTTCTATGCTCTGAAATGCCTTTAGTAGTAGCGGTGTTAACTCTTCTCTGAAAGTTTGGTAGAATTCTCCAATGAAGCCGTCCAGGCCAGGGCTTTTTTTTGTTGGGAGTTTTTAAATTACCTTTTCAATCTCTTCTTTTGCTATGGGTTTATTTAGTTGTTCTACCTCTGTTTGTGTTAGTTTAGGTAGGTAGTGAGTTTCTAGAAATTTGTCCATTTCCTCTAGGTTTTCAAATTCATTAGAGTACAATTTTTCATAGTTTTCTGTTACGATTCTTTTAATTTCAGCTGAGTCTGTTGTGATATCACCCATCTCATTTCTTATACGGGTTATCTGCTTCCTCTCCTGTTTTTCTTTTGTCTGTTTGGCCAATGGTTTATAAATTTTGTTGACCTTTTCAAAGAACCAGCTTTTGGTCTTGTTAACTCTTTCGATTGTTCTTCTATTCTATTTCATTTAATTCTACTCTAATTCTTATTATTTCCTTTCTTCTGGCACCTGGGGGCTTCTTTTGCTGCTCTCTTAGAAATCTGATTTTGATGTCATATCCCTTTATCCCAAAGAAAAGTTAATTCTAACCACTGATAAAATGGGACAGTAATACAAAGCAAAGTATATTAAGCATGGCTTTTAATAAGTCAAACAGGACCTCCCAGGATCTGTTCATCTTCTCTATGCCAGGGACTCCAAAAGCTAAAAGTTGTAAACTCAAGTTTCTCTGGATCATGGAATATCAGGTCATGGACCGCCTTTTAAATTTTATCTTCCTGACCTCATTTCAAAAGTGGGATAGGATATTTTGATACCACTCAATTGGGAGAGGGGGCTAGCTGTGTGAAAACTTTTTGGTTTATTTGAATTCTCACTTGGTTCAAAGGTAAGAAGTGCCTCACCGCTGGTAAGCAGTCAAGGCAAAGTAAACACTCAAATAACTTGTTAACAGGAGACACTTGACTGAGAGGGTGAGAACAAGGAGAATTGTTTCTTCCTTTTGCCAAATCTTTCCTCAACTATTTATTTATTAAAAGGCAGTAAAACAAATATTCAGAGTCAACTTTAACCCTAGCACATGATCTACTAAGTTACTTTACAGCTGTCCTGTAAATCTTCACAGCTTATTATCGCTACCTAAACACTACCTTTCAGGAATCTCCCGTATGAACTCTATTTTTCCATTAACTTACTCTTAACCTGCTCTTAGTTGATTCTGGAGTTTAGAAAGAACTGATGACCGTGACAGGCATTTAGTAAACACGTGTTGACTTGGTTTACATTTATCCACGGCAAGCTTGCTCAATTTGTTAGAGAACTGTGATAATGCGACAAGGATCTGGATTCTATTGCTATATGGGTCAGGTAGCTTGAAATTATATTCAATAAACACCAACAGCACCCCAGGTCCAACCTCACAAATAAACACCACTTTCCTCAAGGAGGGTTATTAGATGACACTATAGGAATACTTCAGAGTACGTCATTGGCCCTGCCAGAAAAGGGTCCAATGCTGTGCCATTTTCATAAGTACTATCGTTGTCAAAACAAGGAAACCCTTGATGACACTGGTGTTACTGCTATTTGACTAGCAAGTTACTGGAAAACCGAAAACAAAAAATAATTTCCCCTGTATTGCTCTGGCAAATGAACAAATTCCCTTGGCCAAGTTTATCACAACTGTAAAATGGTGTGGCAATGTCAGACCTCCTCATCTGTCTTCAGAAGGAAGAGAGAGAATCACCATCAACGTCGGCCCGAGGCTGAGGTGGAGGTCTGACATACCTCCACTCTCCAATCTTTTTACCAATTCTGACACCAGCAGCCCCTCCCACAGCACTCTCTACTTCTCTGCTGGGCTCAATAGTTCATTGCAATCGCCACACAGAACTCACAGACCATACTCACAGTTATGAGGTTTATTAGGGAAGTGATAGGTTACAATTCAGGATCAAGATCAACTTGGAAGTAATAGGAACAACTCAGGATACAGTTCTTCAATAAGGACCGCTTCTTCTTGGCTGCTGCCGCTGGACCCTCGCTCTCGGCCTGGGTCCTGTGCTCTCAGACCAGGCCCTTGCACTCTCAGCCTGGGGCTCCACTTGGGCCTGGCCTCTGCCCTACTTGGACAAACGTTACAGCTTTTTAGCTCTGCCAACGAGAGCCCAGAGGCACCCCAATCCACCAGCAAGCCTCCTACTCAGAGGCACTAGGCTCTCTCAGTGGGTCGGCAAGCCCACT